TTTAATTGTACATATGTGGATAATTAAATTTATCACTACAAAGCATCTTCTTACAAATTTTTCACTTCACTAAACAGTCTTAAGGAAATTATTTCATCTGGAACATCTTATTTCTGCCCTTTAAAATTATATGCTTAATCTACTATAGAGTAGAGAGGGCTCCAAACTATTACAATTCCGAAATCAAGTTGTTTATTCCTGAGTATGAGTTCATGTCGGTGTTCTCAGGGCTGCTGTGATAAATGACTTTGGACAGCTGATACTTCACAAGTCTCCTCACTTGGCCTGCACAATAAGATCCGAAGACACAGAGCAGCTCAATATAAAATTGAAACTGTTTTTTTTTGTCCTAAGAACTAAATATATTCCATACAATAACCAGTAGTGCCCACAAGCCTTGAGGGTCACAGCTGCAGCTGGCACAAGATACTTGCTTATCTAAGAAATAACTTGTATAACCTGGGCTGTTCAATGTCTTACAGTTGTCACTGTCTCCTTACAGCATGACTCCACGGGATCACATGAGAAAAATGTCCATACTGGGGGAGCAAGGAACACTAGAAGAAAAACATTTATACCGATTAGCAAGTGGCATGGCAGCAGGAGGTAAACAGGGAAAACTCTAACTGCACATTTGTTTACAAGATTGCCAACATCTATGTAATACATGAGAAACAACCTGCAACAGGTTTAACGTCTTTAAAAAGGCACCTCAAGCTTTACGAATAACTGGAGAAATACGCTCTGTTAAGGCCACTATAAGTTAACATGAGGAATTCTTGGTATTCAGAAATTGTTCAAGAGAGGATAAGCATCTGGAAGAGCAACCCTGGCCACAGAGGATTTCTGCAGCAAAAGCCACAGTTGGACATTATGAGGCTCTTACTCACAACTACAGGTTGCTTTTCTTGGACTTGCTAGTGCAGGTCCCAGCTAATAAGATTTTTTTTTTTATTAAATTCTGTTCGAAACAAAAAAACGCCTCAAGCAGAGAACTTAATATTCACGACTATTCTGTTCAATAGTGATATATGAATCATCACTGACTGTAAATTGGCCTTTCACTCATTCGGCTGTGCATATCCTGTTTATTTTAGCTGCAGTTTGATTGTATAAATCTCTATTATTTAAACAACATAGTTAAGGCAGGTGTAAATGAAGTCTTTTTTTAGTTGTTGCTATAAAACGGAATGATTTGCTAACTCATAAGCACTAAAATGGTGGTATTTGAGGAAGAAAAAACACCGAGTTTTTTCTGGTAAATTTGTACTGTGGGCAGAATCACTTTCTACTTTACTACATTCACAACAGAACTGTATCTGCTTTGTGTCAGAACTGCGGCAGCGGCAAGAGATGCTAATGAGAAACCAGCTGATGGCTGTGAACCCTCAGCTAATGGGCACAGGCCAGCAGAGAATGCAGGCGATTCCCTCTCAGTTTGAGCCTCGCTTGGTAGACAGGTATTTTCCACCACTTCTCTATTATCATAGCGCAGTTAAAGAATGACTGCTCATGTGGTATATAAAGATTTTATATTATTAATAACTAAACAATGTATTTTGCATGTCTGATTTTTTTTTTCTCTTTAGAGATCTGTTACCTTCAACTGAAATGATGGCAGCAGCTGACCCGAGACAGATGCACATGGCCTCGCAGCTGGGAGCCGCGGTCCCGCAGCACACAAACGTGCCAACCATCCTGTCCAACCGCGTGTACCCAGGCCCAGGTAAGGCAGCACCGTCTGCGTCCTGCAAAGTGCCTGCACGCCACTGAGAAAGTGAACAGCTCCTGACAGGGTTTTATCAGTTTATCAGTACAGTCAATAGATATCTTTTATTAATTTCTTCTGTAGTCTGACTAAAAAGACACAATCTGCCTACCAGAGATTCTAACCAGTTTAAAATTAAAGATACTCACCTAACTTTCATTAAGTACACTGATTTCCAGAGAAACACATAGTTCATGTCTGTAAGAGAATTTCAGAATGTCTATTCATTGCTGCTAGGTTTCTGCATTTGCTAGAAGAATTTTAAAGTATTTTTTCCTCCTCCTTTTAAGGATATAGCTTTCTCCAGCCAGAATCTATGGAAGCTGTGGCCAGGAGGCAGGAACTGGTTCAAAAACAAAATATTGCCAGGTAATTCACTGTACGCTTTCCTCTGAGGTACAGGGATGGTTAAGTCACAGACTTGCAGTTTCTTATTTAGAGTGGTTGAAATACATCCTTAAATGACCCAGAACAGTGAAGCAAAGCCTGGTACCATTGAACTTGCTGTTCTCCTTTATTCTGCTTTTAGGTTTAAAATGATTTAAGGGAAAAAAAAATCACTTAAAGAAACAAACTACACACTTTACACCTAGCTCCTGCACCCTGGATCCAAACACCCTGAAATTGCAAAAGGTCTGGAATGGATTCAGATTTTACAACTGTATCCTACCACACACAATGTTTTGAACCTCTACGGCTGGACCCTGGGGATGACTGGAAATGCCTCCACCCTTCTGTGGGTGAGCAGGTTTCCTAGTTTAACCAAACAGTCTTGGTGTTAGGATGACTTAAAAGGGGTCTGGTGAATTGTACCAATTTCAGTGTAATCAGCAGCTGGTTAAACAATCACTATTGCCCTCTCTCACAGACATATCACTTAAGTGTCACTGAAAACGCCTTACAGCAAAGGCAGGCAGACCCTCCTCCAGCTTGTGCCTGGCAGAACAGCTCCATTTACTCAGCTCTCAGCTCCACCAGAGCTGTGACCTAGAGCTATAGCTTTCTGTTTGGTCATTCAATTGGCTCCAAGGAAAGCTGAAGCCAGTAAAGTTTGGTACAACAGAGACAGACTGCTCCTACAGTCTGCGTCTCACTGGCAAACCCTCCTGTGCCTGGCGAGGAGGCTGGCACACAGCCTGCATCCTCCTGCAGGAGGGTGATCAGCGGAGTATTCAGCACCAGACACTCATCTCTCTATGCTCTAGGTCCCAGACACCATGGGGAACTCATTCGTGTGAGCTTGCTCTGGGTATATACACAAGTTCCACAGATAATATATTTTGAGTTAACATTTACAGTAACACTGCCATTTTGCATTTTTCTATATAATTTACTGATTAACGATGTAAGTCTCTTGTTTTCTTTAGCCTTTGTGACACTAGAGACAATTCTTCCAATCTGAAGAGAACATAATGACTGCAAATGTGTATAAATAACATTTTTGTCTGAAACATTAACCAGTCATCACAAAGAACATGTATTTTTTCATCTTTTTAGCTTATTCTGTTTATTTGAAAACACATTAAATATAGCCAGGCTTGCCATTGCCTCTGCTGTGTTTGTGAGTTCTCACACACAGTGATATAGATGAGATGGAAGGAAAGCACTACTCTTATCTAGTCAATTGTCTGAATTTTAATCTGTCACTGGAGAAAAAGATATGATGAGGGAAGTGAGCTGCCCTGACTGCTTGTGCTCTGTGTGCCTCTTAGGATGGAAATGGAGATGAACGCTATTTTTCAGCAAAAAGAAATGGAGAAAGCTCATCGGAAAGGGTTACTGGGCCTGGAAGCACCTTTCCTTTACCACGGAATGCCAGCTACTCCTATTGCTTTCCGTGGCAGGCAAAGGCTACCTGAAAGCCACCTTCCCAGTGACTTGTATGTGCATCGTACCACCCTTGATGAAATTCATGGCAACACTATGCTCATGGCAACTAGCCCATACCCGTCAGTCAGCAGTCTGCAAAGGGAGAGGAGCCGTCGGCCAGGGAGAAGAGCTGGGAATCACAAAACGGCAGAATGCAACACCAACGGCACCAAGAACCAAGCTGAAGACAAGACCTCAGATCCTGCTTCTGCTGCAGCAGATGATGAGAAGGACGACAAGAAAGAAGCAGAGGTGGAGACACCAAACAAGCACGAACAAAGCAAAAACCAGAGTGAGGCATCTGCAATTTCCAAAAACTGTAAAGAGTTTGAACAGAGCTTGAGAAAAAACTGCGCTACCCATGAAATACCTACTGAGACCAGCAGCTGCAACAACACAAATGAGAAGGATTCTAGTAACTCTTGTGCTGCATTTGACGACAAGTACATGTACCATTCTGCACTCCCATTCTCAGCATTACCATATGGATTCCCGGTACCCAGCAACCCATTACTACCTTCAGGTTTGTCAAGTCTCCAAACTAGTTTGAGTGACATCTTGATACTGTTTATTTTTATTGATTTGCTCTCTTATTTCTTCCCTTTGCTTTAAGCACATTTCATGTTACGATATAGTCACGGAAATCAAATTGGGAGTTCATGTGCTGCAAACAGTAAAGACCAGAGAGATCCCAGTCAGCAAAGCAGTGGTTTCCCTGCTGGCATAAAGGAAGTTTCAGTATATTAAGTAGCCCTTTCAGTCTTTCAAAGGTCTCTCCAGCCACCACTCAAGAATCATGTTTTTCTAAACGTTTTCAGTTATCGTTAAATGCACTGATGGATGGGATATTTGTTCAGGATCACCTACCAAAGACATACTGTATCGCTGAAAAACAAATAATGTACTCTAAACATTCACTTCTCTGCAAAAGGCATTCCAGTTAAAATAAATAAAACTGCTGAATAAAATTGTGAGCTAGTCTCTCCCTTCTGCCCTTTTCTACAAGTATTTCTAGTTGGCACAAGGTACTATGGCCTAACATAGTTCTGTTCTATTGGAATTTTCATTAGATGAAAATAACAGTAAGGTACAAAGAATCAAAAGCATTGGTTAATGTACCTGTTAGAGAAAATACTGCACTGAGATTGGTATTCGTAATGACTGGTATGTACAGTACCATGAGTAAACAAAAGAAGCCAGTAAAGACAATCCAAAGAAAGCCCTGCAGAATCAGTTACAACTGATCACCAAGTGACTTTAGTGTCTGTTAGTGCCTCCAGTGTTGTTAATGTAAGAACTTCTCTAGAACTATACAAATTCTTATGTTGACAATGTTTTCCTATTGATTTGCCAAGCACAGTGCTACAAACATTTCTGTGTTTTCTCCTCAAAGGAGCACACGGCCTGATCCTGAATGGAGAGGACATTTCTTCCATTGAGGACATTCGCAAGTGGACGACTGACGACGTGTACAACTTCATCATTAGCCTTCCAGGCTGTTCGGATTATGCCCAGGTGACTACAAACATTCATCAGAGCTACAACTGCAGGTCTTTAGGACCTTCTAGATTTAATGGCCACCTGGTAAATTTTATGTAGCAGAACTTGTTTGTACCTGTTACACACCTGGCAGTAGTTTTAATTATGCTTCAACATACGAAGCCGCTTGCAGCCATAATGGAAGAGCCAGTCCCTGGCTCAAACAGTTGCAGTTCAGGTTACTACTTTTCAGCACAGTGCTGCAGTCTGCAGTCTTTGGTCATCACATCAAGATTATCAGCATAGCAATGGTAGAAGAAAAGTATTTTTCATCTTGCACTCCACACGTGCAGTCTGCAGTCTTTGGTCATCACATACATCAAGATTATCAGCATAGCAATTGTAGAAGAAAAGTATTTTTCATCTTGTACTCCACACACCCTGCACAATTTATATACAGATGAAAGCAATTCTGCATTCTTGTGATATAGGTATAACCTGCTTACCCTCCTAAGCACTTTAGAGCATTATTCCATTTTAAAAATGAAGTATTTCATTTTTAAAAATGAAGTAATGTAAGCAAGAAGTCAAAATTCTGTATATCCCTGGGAAAGATTTAGTCAGATGAACCCATTCTTCCATTGATAGCAGGCTGATCGCTGTTCTTAAATTAAAAAATTAAATAACATCACAGCATTACAAAGCTCGGACTTGCTGAGAGCAAGTACATGAGTACAGGCAGTGATGTCCATTCACCCAAAAAAGAGACAGCACACTGCAGTTAAGAGATGAGTTTGAAGATAAAATACTTTCAAAATATGACTTGCCCCTTTTGTTGTCTGTGTCTCAGGATTAAGTATAAAGTATGAATACTGAAATCTGTTTCAGCAGACCACAATGTTCATTTTATTTTTTTATAAGATATTTAAAGACCACGCTATAGATGGAGAAACCCTTCCACTTCTAACAGAGGAACATCTCTTGGACACAATGGGCTTAAAACTTGGGCCAGCACTGAAAATCCGCTCTCAGGTACGATCATGAAATGCACTGAAATGGGAAGTCATAGAGATATGAACGAGTAGTTTCCAAACTAAATCATGTTTTTTTCACTGAGAAAATAATTACAGTAATACTAGGGGAGAAAGATTTCCATCACTACAGAAGAGTAGTGTAACTCCAGTATGGTTTGCTTTTATCTTACAGTAATATGTAGAGAGACACTAAAAGAGAAGTTATGGTTTACAGTTTGAGAAGTACTTAAATCGGAGTTAGAATGCAACAGGCCTGGAGACTAGAAGTTAGAAATGGGAAAGGTGTTTGCTGGATTCACTCAGTTTTGACCCTCTTCCCTTCCCAGTTTGTAGGAACAACTCTGTTGTATACTTGCTTTTGCTTCAACCTATCCTTCAAAACGCATCCCACATAAGTTTCTATAAGCTTTCTGGGAATATTATCTTACACATTTCACAGACAGGCAGTTGGCCTTTGTTGAAAACTTTCTGCTCTTAATTTCATCCAAAAATACCAACTTGCTGTATATTTCTACTGCCTGCCTGCTTCTTTTTCCTTTAACCCCTAGCTCTCTCTCACTCCTCTTTCACTAAAAACAGCTTCCCTGCTCTCAGGTCATACTTCTCCTCCCTCCCATGGGTGCTGCAGCATCTAGAGGGTAAGGAGGAGGCTGCCTTCAGGACTCAGCACACTGAGCCCTTTCCCAGATAGGCTATGTTGAGCACTGCCCAACATCTGCCACAAAAACCTGCGCAAAACAGGCAATAGAGGAAATTGAAAAAAAAAATCTGCACTTTTGCTAAGCGCTAATTATCTAAAGAAGCAATTGCTATAATTCTGTTTTTGTCTTTAAAGGTGTCTCGACGCCTGGGCAATGTGTTCTACATGATGAATCTTCCTCTGTCCATGACCCTGCCACCTGTTCCAGGCAAATCCTCCGATCAACCTTCTGACATGGCCTCCCCTCTTCACTGTAACAGCAGTGGGGATGCACTGGATAGTCCCTGCTCTCAGGACCCAGAAACTTCAAAAACAGCGGAACCAATTGTTTCAGATGGCAGAGAAAATTCATGTGACACAGCTGGAAATCAGGCTGACTTCCAGATGATCAGTTTTCAGAAGAGTTGAGCTGAGTCCAGGACATAAAATGTTTTCAATAATACAGTAGAACTTCTAGTTACAAAGTGTTAGAGGGGAAGAGTTACAGCCTGAAACCTCTGTATGATTGTGGTTGAATGAAATAAGCCACAAATGCAGCAAGGTGCAGTGTGGTATTTTAAAAGCATTGAATAATGCTTTTAAATAAATAATATTAGTGCAATTATTTTCAAGTGCAATTCATTGAAAAGGACATCAATATCTTTAACAGCTAGATTTAGCGTTTCGTAAATTTAAGTCCTGTGACATCAGTGAAATCTGTCAGAGACTCAAGGAGTACCATGTTTAAGCATGTTCCTGTGGGCTGCTGCCTGCTGAGAAGTACATGGGAAAGGACAAGTCACAGATTCCCTTCAGTCCATAGCTGACTTCTTCTATTCAAGTCTATGGCAAAATATATACAGAATTCAGAGGGAACATACAGAATTAACCACAGTATATGGAGAAATATATCCTAGTCTCAGCAATTTGCATATATTTCATTGCCATTCTAGAACTAAGCCTTTTTAAGTGCCTGGGGAGGGTACGTAGGATATATACAGGGTACACAGATGAAATCCTGGACTACTGTAACAGCCATGTTGATTATTCTGAAACATTATTATTGCCAGGATTTAAAACTGCTTTGCTTGATCTTCCAGATGAGTGAAGTTGTTAACAGTAACTTTAAGATGTTTTTATTACACTGTCCTTGCTCTGCAATCTTGAGAAGGGCAAATTTTTTTCCTGAAAGGGCAAATTATTGCTGAAGAAAGACTAAGGCTGATTCTGCTTCCACTCAAAACTGCCATGAACTCTAATTGACAGGTTAGAACAGTAGCCCAGGTCTGTGCATAGTTCCCCATAAACATAACAAGGATCTGTGGTTTTAGGGCTAACCAGTAAAATCCAAGAAGGCCCACTGAAAATGCATGATATGCTATGCAGCAAAACATTCCAGATCTACAGACAGACCCTGAGGTCACTTCCTTCTATGTGCTGACCATCTCTGAATCAGTGAAATTAATGGCAGTCTTTCCATTAACATGAGAGTTTGGATTACATCTTACACATCATCTGTGGGCATCTTTAATAGAGAAACATTGAACACTCGATAGTGTTTAGAAGAAGTAAAATTACGACTTAAGTTGGAAAGCTTAAATACAACTCCTTAAAACTCTAAAAAAAGTACAACAACATTATTATCCTTAGAATGGCCATTAGTTTGGATTTGTTTCTCTCGAATGATTTTAAAAAGTTGACCTCTAGTCTCTTCATTAACTTTTCTATACTTTTTCATAGCATCAAAACTTACTGAGGAAATTTGGATGGTTTTATGTTGAATTTGGTAAAAAGTGTTTACTTTTTCGAAATTAGCTAAAACACTCCTGACAATGTAAAAAAGTATATTCATTTCAAAAAGATTTTACTTGCTACTTTAATACATAACATCTCAGATTACTTAAACTGAAAAAATACATACAAATATTTATTACATACTTGTTTTTTACAGTTTTACAGTAGATTTAACTATTGCCATTTTCTCCTTTTTTTTTGCTGTAGGTTGTTCATATACCAACAGGTAAAAAATAAAATATTTTTATATAGTAGAAGTGCTTGTTAAAATTAAAAAATATCAAGGACACCAATTCCAGTTAGTATCTGAAATGATTTCTAAGTTATTTTTTTGTAAAATTTATTATCATATTGAAAATGTCGCTTACCTAACTAAACAGCTTTAATAGGCAGTCTACCTCCTCACTGTATGAAATATTTGACTTAAGCCATATGAGATGTCCACCACCCTAAAGATGAATCTCTAATAATTTTTTAGGTCAATTAAGCCACAAGATGTCGCTGCAAAGCTACAAGAACTTATTCTGCTGGCCCTTCAAAGTGCAACACAGCACACCTGAAGTACAAGTGACTAATTAAAAACAAGGCTATGCAGAAATTAAAATAAATTTTATGGAGTACAGCAGAGGAACGTGACTTGAAATCCCACATTCCAGGGAAGAAAGACCGAAATCTGGTTCTGAGGAGTGTGATGACTTTTGTAAATGGCTCAAATGGGAACAAATCCAAAAGCAGAGAAAAGTTTGGATCCAATTTTGCAGGCTGATTTTACTTCTATGATAGAAGAAACAGATGATGTTTTGCACATACTGGGCTCTTCTTCCCAAAACTAAAAAAAGAATGACTTAACAGCTTCCTGAGCTCAGGGGAGATATGTCAGTGCAGCCAAAAACCTGTAAGGTCTGGACTGAAATAGAGCCAAGTAGGAAGGAAAAGGATTTACCTAAACAGATATAACCTATTCTATTTCTAATGAAGGAAATACCAGTGGTAATGAATGTTTCCTCTTCTACAAGCACTTCAGTAAGAATGAAAAGAAAAAAAAAAGTAAAAATTTAAAAAGACACAGAATCACTAGACAGAGCCTTTAAAAAAGTTCTATATATTTTGGGATTTTTTTTTTTTTTGTAATTTAACACTTGAATTCTTCCTCATTCCTAGTACAGCATGTTCTTTTTTGACTTTTAATATATATTCCAGGTACAGAGGGCACCGCTAGCAAGTGCAAGTGTATGAGAAAGCTAATATGAGCTGTGCAGTTCCTGTCTGCATTGTAGATGTTACTGCTGACTCCTGCATCAGTGAAGTTTTACAGGAAAGGTCACAGAAGCAGATACCACCATTGTTATGACTGCTCTTAACAGCAATAGCTTCACTGAGCAGGCCTGCAATCACCTTACCCCTACCAGGGAAGTACTGAATCAGGCTTTGCAACACAATCTAAATATACCAGCCAAGTAAGAAGTACTTTTAATTGTCATATATATGCAATGCATTTTACAAGCCAAGTGAATTACATTGCTAGCCTCACACAGCTTTCTATACAGATCAGACAGATGTAGTACAAGACTATCTTGACACCTTGTCGCTGTAATAGGAATGCATAATATTTATGTATGTATGATATGATAAGGGAACAACTGTTCTTTTTTCTCCCCACACTCTTCTCTCTCCCCCCCCCTTTTTTTTTTTTTTTCTGCCTTTGCAGTTGCAAAGCCCTTTTCTTTCTTTGGAACAGCTTTGCTCCAATTACCACCTGTATTGGGGTCACACAAATTAATCTGTTGGCTTGGCTTCTAAATAGTCTTCCCATTTGTCCCACAGCCAAGCTTACCTAAGTCTGTATTTTTCCAGGCAGACATTAGTTCTTCTACTATCCATGTATTCATTTTAAAACAATAATTTTCCTGTCAATAGGGATACATTCTTTCACTACTGAAAAGAGGAAGAAACCATGTTATTGTCTGTGTTGCATAGAGAATGACACAGTGTGTTTTCCTACAGCACAGTACAGTGAAGAAATAAACATGTTCTGCTTTTCTACAATTTAAAAGCACATACATGTGACAACTGTGTGTATTACTAAAACAGAAAACAGTCAACCAAAACAGTAAACAGAAAAATTACTGCTAATCAAGGGTTAGAAAACAAACAAACAAACAAAAAAGTCAACCTGGTTTCATTTTTCTTTATTACCTTTCAGCTAGAGGGCTCAAACACTTCTGCTAGAGAGGAGCGTTGTTCAGCCTGGCATCCACAGGCCTTCAGCAGTCTGCATTGAAGATGGTCTTTAAAACAATCACCAGCTTCTGCATATCTGTTAATTTCAAATTGGAGATGTAAAGCAAAGAATCACACTTTATTTGATTTTTACACACACACACAAAAACCCAAACACTTGTAATTACAGAGTTATGCTTTTATAAAATAATGTTGTTACTATCCCTTCCCGTCACAGCCTAAAAAAAGAGAGGAATACAGTAAGCCTTTTTTTCTCCCCAAAACTCTGAGCATTCTTATTTTTAAAAAAAAAAAAAGAAAGAAAGAAAGAAAAAGCATTGATATATTTTCCATCTCACGCATTTTTATTTCTAGGTAAATCCCCACTGACTCCAGCACTGACTCCAATCCATTAGATCAACTCAATTAAGCGGGATATTTATAATGAGCTATATGTCACTCTATTACAGTCATATCCTTATTAGTGTTCATCAGTTATTGATAAAAAATGCATCCTTACAATGAACAACATGCGAAACACATGCAATTAATTTATTCAACTCAGATTTTGTGTATGTAAAGTTAAAAGGAACTTTGCAAGAATGAAAGTATACAAAAAACTTCTTAGTGAAAAGTGTATCTAGAGACTTTTCTAAATAACTTTTGTTGCTGTGCTAAATTATAAACTAAGTGACTAACTAAACATTTATAAGCTCCTGAGATGGAAGTGACTCAGGATATGCACACTGGAGTGTGCTTCAAAGTAATGACTCATGCATTTGTGGGTGGATGTTAGCTAAATCTCCCTTGAAAGTACACATTGCTGTATGGTACAGAACTGGCATTCCTTGCGTTTTGAACCTGTATCAGTGCTGCAACAAACAGGATAAAGTGGGAGGTCATTCCATAGCCCGCAGCATGCCATCATCTGTAGGTGCTCTAGAAAATGCTTCCTAATGTAGTGTGCGTCTATCCTCCCTGCACAGGGACAGCATCGGCAGTCTGTGGAAGCTTTCTTTTATTCTTTCCCTTTCTAAACCTGCCAACAAATCACTGAGGTACTTTTGATTTGTATTCTCCCTTCTCTTCCCCTAGAGCAAAAGGATTAAACACAGGCCCTGTGGATAAGCTTCTTACAAGTGAGTTGTTTGTTCTACAGAACAGACACTTGCTCTGGTGTCACTTTAATCTCCATATTGCAGAAAGCCCTGCAACTCTGGGCTAATTTGCAACATCCTCAAGAGTAATGCATTTGTCAGTGCACAGAGCTGCAATTCAGCTACACGTCAGCTAGGCCATAGCAGCAAGACCACATCTTCTTGCAGATCCAAGATGACCAGTGCTGAGCACAAAACAACGTAACTACCAATAAGCTGCCACCCAGGAAGAAGTGAATGTAAGAACCTAAGAAAATA